GTCTGAGGACTGTGTACTCATTTTAGGGCTATGTACTTGTCTGAGGACTGTGTACTCATTTTAGGGCTATGTACTTGTCTTAGGACTGTGTACTCGTCTTAAGACTGTGTACTCATCTTAGGACTGGGCTGAGGACTGTGTACTTGTTTTAGGTCTGTGTACTTGTCTGAGGACTGTGTACTTGTTTTAGGACTGTGTACTCATCATAGGACTGTGTACTTGTCTGAGGACTTGGGGGTGCAGTATGGACCTGGTTCAGTTGGATCAGGTACAGATTTTTGTAAAAACAGTCCAAATATCTCTAGTTTGGATCTAAGTGGTTAAAAGTAAAAACAAAGTTACAGAAGCTGTACTTTACTTTACTTTACTCAGTTTAGCATCTGGTGGTCTCTCCTCATGTTGTCATGGCAACATGGTAGCCATGACAACCAGTAGTTGGTTTCTGGGGAGAATCCTGGTGGTCAACTTGTGGAACTGCAGCTAATTTAATCCTAATCTGTAGTTTTTAATACATTTGACACTTTATCAGACTGTGTAATCATCACACAGAGACACGAAATGATTTAATATTTGTGGTATTTAATGTCCAAACATCACTTATAAATCCTACAGTTCATCTGATAAACATTCAGCTTCAGACAAAAACTCAGATTGTTTCATAAAAAAAGACTTAATGATGACAAAGCTCCTTCAATCAGAAATAGTTTAATATTTTTCTACTGTATATTTAATCACAATCAGATGTCAGTGACAATAAGACATTAAGCTGCACTATTTAAATAAATATGATTGGTTTAATTCTCCCTCGGGTAAACATCCTTTTCACTACAGAACAAATACATCTGATCCAACAGTGTGGTGCTAAACCCAGTACAGTAAATATTATTCATTATTATTAATCCTTTAAAATACCCTCTATACAGATTCAAACATTTCTCTTCTCTAAATTCCATCTTTGACTCAAGGTTGTTAAGTTTTGTTTTAAGCTGCAGCTAATATATTAATTACTATTTTATTGTTTGTTATTTGTTATAAACAACTCGATTGTTTGTTAAAAACAACCTGATTGTTATAAACAACTCGATTGTTTCTTTTATAAAACCCGATTTGTTATAAACAACCCGTTTCTTATAAACAACTCGATTGTTTGTTATAAACAACTCGATTGTTTGTTATAAACAACTCGATTGTTTCTTTTAAAAACAACCTGATATTTATAAACAACCCGATTGATTCTTATAAACAACCTGATTGTTAAAAACAACGCGTTTCTTATAAACAACTCGATTGTTTCTTATAAACAACTCGATTGTTATAAACAACCTGATTGTTATAAACAACTCCATTGTTTGTTACAAACAACTCGATTGTTATAAACAACCCGATTGTTTGTTACAAACAACTCGATTGTTATAAACAACCCGATTGTTTGTTACAAACAACCCGATTGTTACAAACAACCCGATTGTTTGTTACAAACAACCCGATTGTTTGTTACAAACAACCCGATTGTTTGTTACAAACAACTCGATTGTTTGTTACAAACAACCCGATTGTTTGTTACAAACAAACCGATTGTTTGTTATAAACAACCCAATTTTTTGTTATAAACAACCTGATTGTTGCAAACAACCCGATTGTTTGTTATAAACAACCCAATTTTTTGTTATAAACAACCTGATTGTTACAAACGACTCGATTGTTACAAACGACTCGATTGTTTGTTACAAACAACTCGATTGTTTTTGTTACAAACAACTCGATTATTTCTTTTAAAAACAACCTGATTTTTATAAACAACCCGACTGTTATAAACAACCTGATTGTTTGTTATAAACAACATGTTGCCAGACAACAAACATTTGGTCTTAAGCTGTCAGCTGGAAACAGCAGCTTCTGCCTGCCTGACATTTTTCAAGAAAACATTTGTGACCTGTCACATCAAAATGAGGATTAAGTCTAAAAGTGGGATGTGGAGAAATAGGTAAATAGTATTTTGATTAAAACGTTTACAAAAATTGCATTCTGTCAAAACATGAATAAATAACATCAATATATCATTTGAATGAACTGTCTGAAGAACGTTTTTAAACAGTAGCAACAAAAAACCTGATTTTGAGGGAAAATGCTTTAACATTTTGAGATTTTTCCTGTGAGCTACAAAGGTTTTGTTTCTTTTCAGCTGGGAAATCTCAAAATTCAAATTTAATTTGATGTTTCCTCTTTAAAAGAACATTAAAAATTCCTCATTAAAATTACATATAATTAGGATTCAGACCAAGTATTAATGTATCATCGTAACCAACAAACTAAGAAATGCATTTACTTTTATCAGAATGATCCAGGTATCAAAATGTATCTTTTAAAGTCAGGAATCTGAAAATCTGATCAGGTCATTTTGACCAAATATAACTTGATCCTCATTTCGATATGAGGGGTCACATTTAAAGACACAGACGAGCAGCTTCATCAGAAATACTGGACTTTAACCAGAACCAGTTCCCATCAGGTCCAGCAGGTTACAACCAGAACCAGTTCCCAGCTATGGAAGGTCCAGCAGGTTGTGTTTAGCATAAAGTTCTTCTGTGATCTGGTACACCTCAGAGATGAGAGGCACCGCCTCCCCCAGCATGGCCACCACCTGCTCAGGTGGGCCCACGTTCATGATGTCAAAGAAAGCCGGCCGTCCGGGCAGAACCAGAAAAGCCATGCCCGCTAACTTACGCACCATCCACGGGTGGTGCTGGGCCAGAGACTCGTTGTAGGCCTCCGAGCACATGACGGACGTCTTGCCGTCCTCGGTGCTGATCCGGAGGCGCTCCAGGAAGAGCTCGAGCCACCTGAGAGCACGGTGCAGTCTGAGCAGGGTGCGGCAGCCGGACTGCGGATGGACGCCGGTCATGGTCAGGTCCACCTGCTGGTTCTGTAGCTCGTACTGGACCATGGACTGAACAGTGACGTACTGAGAGCTGTTGGCACCGTTCATGAGGCCCACCAGGATCTGGACCTTGCTGACAACATCCCTTGTGATGAAGCCGAAGACGCTCCCTAGGCTGTTCAGGAACCTGCGGGGAGAAAACCACACTGTGAGCAAGTTTATGATGCTGACAGGATGAGAAAACAAACCTCCTGTCCTCCTACAGGAAGGTCCAACAGAACCAGAGTCTGATCCAGAGTCTGTCCCAGAGCCAGAATCTGTCCCAGAGCCAGAGTCTGTCCCAGAGCCAGAGTCTGTCCCAGAGCCAGAGTCTGATCCAGAGTCTGATCCAGAGCCAGAGTCTGATCCAGAGCCAGAGTCTGTCCCAGAGCCAGAGTCTGATCCAGAGTCTGATCCAGAGCCAGAGTC